TCCATCATGTGAGTGGATACACTGTGATCTGTTCTAAAATGGCGGCGAAATTGGGAATTCCAAGCCAGATCCCAGCGCAAGATGACAGCACGGCTCCTGATCAAGCGCTCCGTCTCGAAGAGTGCGTATCTGCGCTGGTACTTGCTGGTGAGGAAGACCACGTGGCTGGGTTTGGGATCCTCCCAGCCGAAATGTTACGGCTCGCGGCTGAGACGTGCTGAGACTTTGGAGGGTCTGAGGCCTTCCTCAAAGCCCAAAGAGAAACGCTAGAGGCCTCAGCTCAGAATGTGGGCTTAGGGGGTTTAGTGTTAGGGCTGAGGCTTTTGGGTTTGGGGCCCAGGGCTGAAGGCTTGGAACCCCAACCCCTATAAACCCTAAAAGCCTAAAGCCCTAATCAAGGTTTGGGTTTTGAAAGCTTTGCGGTGTCAGCCTGTGGATGAAGCTTCGGGGGTTTCTTTTGGCGTCGAGGGTATAGAGTTTGCAGGACTTCCAGCCACCTCATAAGTGTACTTATAACGGGTTTTAGGTTTTGCAGTTTGTCAGAATAGCACCATTCTAGGCGGACTACAAGGGAATTACCACTGGTTCTCCCGACCCCCATATTCATCCCAGGGGCAGCTTCGGGTTAGGCCTTTCCCCACCCTTCGCCCACCTCGTCGGATCTGGAAAGGCTGAGCCTCGTGGCAGCCGGAATGAACGATTCGTGTTGCAATACACCGACTTGCAGAATTACTAGTATGCTTCCTCAGGGTTCCTACTGTGTCGATTTCTTAGGGCTCCTGCATATAATGATAGGAATTTTTCCAGGGTTACATAATAGGCATGGGATTCCTTAGGGTTCCTGAAGGTGATGTAAGTAAAAACTTGATCTGCTGACCTAAAACCTTAGGCTTCCTCTCTACGCCTTGGTCTGGCCTTCAACGGAGTTAAGTGGCCGCGCTGCCCGGAGACTCCAGCGCCCTAAACCCTATAAACCCTGGACCCCAGACCCTAAACTCTGGCCCTAAATGCCCGTGAGAACCCAAAACACGATTCAAGAGAATCTCCGGGTTAAGGCTTAGGCTTCAAGGCGGTGCGTAGTTCAGAGCTGGACAGACCTGCACCCACAACTCCGGCCACTCTGGCCTAGGGCTAAAGGCAGCCATGGCTTGAAGGTTAGGGTTTAGGGCCTGGGGTGCAGGATGTACGCTGTCGGGTTTAGGCTTTAGGCTGACAGTGCATGGCATACAGTAATCTGAAACGCAAGCTCTCGCACGCCTTTCAAGGGCTAGGAGCTTGCGAATGTAATTCCTGCATTGG